GCAGACAGCTCACCAACAGCAGCAAATACAGGCTATGGCTGCCTTAGAGAAGGGCAAGTCACCCTCGCATTTGGTTAACCATGCTGGACCGGTAGTCAATGATGGGTACGACCCTCTCATTTGCATACCAACCTAAGGCAGACTGACAACCATGATGTTGCCGAGTTGATGACGGGTAAGGATGCCAAGTGAAAGAGGGCAACCTAAGCCAGGCACGGTCTCTTGGCCTCCCTTGGTTTATTAAAACAAAAAGGGGGAGATGTGGGAAGCGAGCACAGCCGAGCCAGCCAAAGATGGAGCCCTGGCTGGCTGCCAAACCTCGTGCTGTTTACTTCAACTCTTGGCTGATTGCCAAGGCTCGTGAATCCCGCTTGTTTACCCCAACTCTGAAGTATGGTGAGCCCCAAAACAGGTGCTGCCAGCCTGATGATCTTGCTACGTGCCTATGGGCTACACTCTGCCTGGCTGCTGCACGTGTGTGAGCCCTGATTGGTACCGGCTGGGGGGAGGGCTGTTGGAAACGCTATATAAAGAGCTGAAGTGTGTAATAAAGGGAGAAAGAAAACTACAGCAACAACGAGACAGCATCATAGTGAGAGAGAATGAGATAAGTGAGAATGAAGTGAGAGAGAATGAAGTGAGAGATATAGGAGAACTACGAGCAGCATCATAGTGGGTGAGATAGTGAAGAGAATATGAGAAAGAATAAGAGAATAAAGGAAGAAAAACAGAAGCTTGAACCTCGCCTTGGTGTCTGTGTCGTCTTTCCTGGACTCTGCTGGACAGAGTCCCGGCTCGCAACATGGTTCACCTTGCAGCTATTCTCCCTTAGGACAGGAGGAGGTGGCTGGGGTTCCAGAGTCACCAGGAGCTGATTGCCCTGATACCCTCAGAAAGCACAGAGCTGGAATGCCAAGAGGTGGCTAAGAATTCCAGTGACTCAGCAAAACATTTGATTGGTGCAGTAAGGCTTGTGATTGGTAGAGCTAGAATCTGCACCTGTGGAGCTGTCACTGGTAAAATTATAACCTGCACATAAGCATACCATACCCTTCTTGCTAATATTTAGGCAGGCTATTCTCTACTTCTTGGGTTAATCTGGGAGGCTTCTCTCCTGTGCACTACTTTCTGGTGCTGCAATGTTAGGCACTAAAAATGTCTTCTCCTGAGTGGTCTTTTGCTTACTTGTGGTCTTTATAATGGGCTATAGTGGTAGGCGGAGCTTGTTGCATGAAGGACAGACAAAAACCTGAGCAACCAAAGTAAGGAGGTGGCTGATGAATTCCAGAGACTAATAGGAGCTAAAGAACCCAATATCCTCAGAAAAGTCAGAGCTGTGATACTAAGAGTTGGCTAAGAATTCCAGACAGCAAGAAGCTAACTATGAAGGCAAGCGAGGTACTGAAGTGAAGGCAGAGGAGCTGAGACTGTGGAAGAGGAAGCCTAATGTAGGAACCGAGACTACAGAACTGCATATCCACTTGCTAGAAGAGTTTGAGGAGAGCTGACATGGTTCAAGAGCCAAGTCTCAACACCTGCAGTTAGGTGTTGGTACTCTTAAGCCCAGAACAGTAAGCCTCTTCCATGAGCACCTAGAGCAGTGAGCCTCCAGTACTTAAAAATTTATTTTCAGGGATGGAGAGATGGCTCAACAGTTAAGAGCACTGACTGCTCTTACAGAGGACCCGGGTTTGATTCTCAGCACCCACACGGTGCCTAACAACAATCTGTAACTTCAGTTCCAGGGGATCTGATGCCTTCTTCTGACCTCCATGAGCAATGCATGACATGGATGCACGTAAATACATGCAGGCAATACACTCATATACATAAAAATATTAAATACAAAAATATATTTTCATTTATGTGTGTCTGCCCGTCTATATGTGCACCATGTGCATGCAGGTGCTCATGGAAGCTAGAAGCATGCATCAGATCCCCTGGGGCTAGGTTACAGGTGGTTAAAAGCTACCTGACATGGGTTCTGGGAACCAAACCTGGGTCCTTTGCAACAGCAACAAGTGCTCTTAATCACGGAGCCATCTTTCCTGCCCTGAGCCTCCTGCTTTGAAAATTTGGAAGTTTAAGGCCCTAGTTCTCAAGTCTTAGAACTGTAAGCATCTGTATTTGGAAGCCCAGCTTGTAAGCCTCTAGAACTCAGGCCTGTCAACACTCAGGGAGCTTCCCCCTTGCCTACCATGTTCAGACAGAGCAAAAGAACCCCCAGTCAGCTACTTGGTTGTTTTTGAGACAGGGTCTCCCTGTAGCTCCAGCTGCCTGGAACTCAGTAGACCAGGCTGGCCTCGAACTCACAGATGATCCACCTGCCTATGCCTCCCAAATGCAGGGATTAAAGGTGTGTGCCACCATGCCCGGCCCAGTCAGCTACTTGTGACACTAAGGACAGCAGCCACTGCTCCCCCACCCTATTGCAATACCTGTTATCTGCAGTATACTCAGTAGATTTGGTTTCGAGGTACTTACTGGGCAAAGTTTGGGTATCAAGGCAGCTAGTTGCTGAGCTAGTGTAGTGGAATGTCTGTGGGTTCTCAGAGAAGGGAGTATGTGGGGTTTTCTAGCCCCTGGAGTCATCCAAATTCAGAAAACAGGTCCCTCCTTAGGTGGTTCCTGGCTACAGAACCTTGAGGGTTCAATGGGGGACAATGTAAAAATTGTTTTCAAAGTAAGGCTACTGCGTACATTTCAGTTACCTAATTAGCCTGCACAGCCCCCGAGTATTAGGAAATCTCAACAGCTCAGATTCCCAGCATCTACACTGGCCATGTGGACTGGGACTCCTCTCTGCATTCCTGCACAAGAATGGCTTTCTCTTTCCTCAGCCATGGGGCTATAGTTGAAGGGGCTAAGCTATTCGGTTTCACTTACTAGGACCTTGTCCCACGTCAATGAATCTTACAAGGTCCAGTGTTCTCTGGACATCACTCACCTCAAAAATGCAGCTTGCCACACTTGTTGCTTTGGGTTTTTTCTTTGTGGAGGAAATAAGTGCTGGGTGCCTGTAGTCCACCATTTTGGCATTCCTTCTAAACTGTCCTGACAGCCAGCACCTAGCCTCTATTACAGAAGACCAGCATCATGGCTCTCTATCATTTGAATTCACCTGACTTCTAACAGCTATCACCTTTGCACTTTATCAGTTGGGAGTTGGGTCCTTTCCTTAAATCTCATTAGTCTAAGAAATCAGTGCTGTTCCTTGGAGTTTTGGGCTGAGCTGGGAGCCCCAAAACAAACCACACATACTGCCACTTCTGGAAGCTTTGTTCTTTAATGAGTCAATGGAGTGATTTGTTCAGCAAGCTCCTTTTACGTAGCCATACAGTGCATATTCTGAGTAATGCAAACTGCACTTCATACTTGCCCCCCTAAATGAAATTACAAAGTGCCTGCTGATTGCATCAGGAATGTAATCAGTTCCATGAATAAGTCATTCTTCTTATAGATTATATTAAACAGTAAAATTGTATATTTCACAGGATATGCCCTTTTATAATACATAGTATCTTAAAAATTTACACTCAGTATAGTTATAAATTACTTTAAATCCATTAAAATAATATAATACTAATCTGTACTCCACACCTTTCCCATAGTAAATGCAAGTACTTGGTTCGAGAGGTGCAATTTCGTATGACCTAAGGGGGTTAATAAATAGGCATGATGAATGGATGGGTTAACAAGGTGGCAGGTGCATTGGTGGGACTTTTTTTTTTTAAGTTTAAACCAAGAGACTACTAGACAGATTGGGAATTACCTTTCTAACACAAAACCAAGTGTGGGAATGGTTCCAGAGAAACGTGGTCACATGTATTCTAGGGGCATAGAAAGTTGAGACTTCTACAAATAGCTAAGAATTTTACTACTAAGGCCAGCATGGTGTTGGGGCACAGTGCTGGGAAGTTATCACAAATGTATGGGTGGATATAACACACTGTTCAACACAGAAGGATGCAAGCCCCATATCTATCTCCCCACTAAGAAAAAAAGTGGGTAAGAAAGCCACCTGGACTATTTCTTTTTACAATTACAACTCTCTTAGTTTCAAACACATCCTGAGAATCCTTTCTTCTCTCTAGCTTATTAGTTAAAAATATACAGCCCAGAGGCACTGAGGTGGAACTACAGAACCTTGCTGGACTGCTTGATTTCAGCACAATTCTATGACACTATTTTCAATACCTGCCAGCAGGGTAAGAACTACAGCATGTTTCCAATATACGGAAGTGGGGCTCTAGTGAACCCATGCCCTGAACTCACATCTTTTTGTCTTCTCTCCCTGCTAGCAGGTCATGTCTCCCTTTGTTTCAGAAGCCCACATAATCTAAATGGCAGGAACTGCAAAGCACATGCAAACTAAGCATGTCACCTCCCTGAATCCTCCTGCCTGTGTCTGTAATTTATTTCAATCTGTATGTAAAATGAAATTACACCTCTTTGCTTTCGCTACATTTTCCATGATACATACTCAAGTACAGGGACGTGTTAATGGACAGAAGAGGAAATGCAGGCTTTGTGGAAGCTGGACCATATGCTGTGACTAGAATGCTCTGGGCTCCACATCTGAATTGCTCTGCTGCTACCAAGCAGACATTCCTTTGAAGCACTTGATATTAAAAAAAGCAGCAAAGCAGAAGCAACAGAACCAGGAACCTGATGTGTATGGTAATCTTGAGCAGCTGCAATGCAGCATCACTGTGTGGTGATGCCCTGTTAAGAGCTGATGGAAGCAGAGCATTTGGGTCTGAGGGTACTGAGTTATGGCTTAATCTCTTAACAGATGGACAGTGCCTGCTAACCCACAAGAACAATAGCATTTTTTCCCAAGGGGGGGGGCACTACACTTGCTGAAACATTGTTAGAATTGTACTTCCCACCCCCACCATCCTGACAGCTTGTTAAATGATTAGAAATTCACAAATCTAGCAACTGAAAAGACAAATGTGTGCATGTGTGTGTGTGTGTGTGTTTTAATTTATTTAATTTTATCCAAATTCAGGTTTTAGATCCCTGAGAAAAATTATAAAGTCTTTTAACATCCAATACCTAGTTCCAACAAAGTGACCTAAGAAGTAGGTTTTAATTGGCCCAAAATTTATCTTACAGAAAAACAAAAACTACACAAACTCCAAAGATTGAGGTGGGAGAACATGGGTCAAGTGCATTTCCTCTGAAACAAAGGGAATTATTCCAACAGGGTAATTGCTTTTTTTTTTTTTTAATGATTATTTAAGTAACATTTTGGACCAAGTGGAGAGCAACAGTTAAGACCCAGCAGTGCACTACTCTCCCTAGAATACTAAAACAGCCTGTGCAGCCAGCATGAGCCCTGAAGCAGCACCCCACCTCGGCACAGTCATACTATGTTCCTTTAGGAAAGTTCCTGAAACTCTTGTTTTCAAAGGCATATATTCATTGCTACCTCATGAAATATGAACAAGGTGGTAGATGCTTGTGGGGTATAAAACATAACATTTGCTGACTACCCGTCGTCATTCAGGAGATTTCCAAAGCTTCCTTCACCTGTCTCAATGCTAAACTCAAACCAGGGAGAGGGAAGACTCCCGCCTACTGTGAGCTGCTACACAGCACGATGCTACATGTCTGTTCTCTAGAGCCAGCCAATGACCACTGAGGCAGTGGCATGAGGTTCAGTGTTGTGTAACAGGAGAGATTCTGCCTTAACAAAAGACCTACAATTTCCATAGCCTAAAGAAGAAAAGGAAGAAAACTAAAATTCAGCTTGCAGGTGGTAAAGGCTCTTTTTTGTAACAGTGCATGTGGTAGTTAGACACAATGTATTTAGTAACTTTAAAAATAAACATTTTCACATAAGGGCATCATGTTTCATTTTACATACACTATAAATAGCAAAAACAGATTTCTAATCCCATAACTGCTATTCTAAGATGCTTCAAATGTTCTAACAGATATATATATTGAGACCACCAGTGATGAGAAAGATGGCCTTACTTTTCCCTCAACCCAGGGGTGAGTGACTCTCACCACCAGTCCAATGGCCTCTAATCTGTAAGAAGAAACTCCATGGGAAGAAGGGAAGCACAAGGTTAAAAAAGAACTAGGCATATTATACATACATATTTACAGTAAACTTGAGTAACCAGTATATTAACAAAAATAGCTTCAAGTAGTCCTTGATTTTTTTTCATCTATTTAATACTGATGGTCTGAGAAAAAAGATAAATAGGTCGTATTAAAACTTAAAAAAAAATTTTGGCAGCTTTCTGTAACTCTCATGCAATGTTGTATGTGACTATTTGGGGAAAAATGATTAAATGGTCACATTATTTGTCTAAGTCTGTGGTGGGACTCCACCAGCATATAAATGGGCTCACTCTTAGTCTACACAAGAAAAGCCTGGATGGATCAGGATGAAGTCTTTATGTTTCAGGATTACCTAAATGTGTCCATGACACTAAAAAAAAAAAAAAAACTAGGGGAATCTGATCAAGGATCAGGGAATATCCAGAGTATGGCTACTGAAACTTCAGCCCATGCAATGTATTTGGCAGGGACTAACCAGGAGTTTAACCAGCATTGATTATTATGTCAAACATCATCAAAAGACAAAGCACATTCTCTTTCATTGTATAACCAGACAGCCAAGACTTGCTTTGATGGCTGATAGTTTTTATATGTTCCTTAGAATATAGCATGGAGTGTTTTTCAAAAAAAATTAAATTTAAAATAGAGGGCTTAGGCTTTTACTTATAAATCCTTGGGAAAAAAAAATTAAGTGCTGGGGTAGAATATAACGATCCCAAAATAAACCCAAAGGCTTTTGCTTTCATGGTTTAAGAAAGGCTTATATGTTTTCTTCAAATGTCAAAACCAGAGGGTCCCTCAGGATAAGAACTTCCTAGATCAACATCTTCTCTGGGAAGGGAAAGGAAGTAGGGGAGAGGCAACTACTGCTAGCCAAAATACTCAGGTCATGGGTGGCTTTGTTTAGTGAAATCTCAAATCAAATGCAGCAGTCAAGGCACAGCCGGCCCGTCTCCAGCAGGCTCCGAAGAGGCCACTTCTGCAGGAGGCCCAGGGATCCAGCACACAAACCGTCTGCTGAAACAAGAGGCAGGGCCGTAATAGGACTGACTGTTGTGGAGAAGGTGACCAAAAGAGGCCCCAATATGAGATGTGTCTACCACTCTAGCTATGTATGGACACATCAGTCAGTTCAGACCATAAACTCATTATTTCCAAAGAGTGCTAGTTGCTGTGTGGAGCTGCAGTCTGGGTCTACGGTTTTCTTGAGGCCAGATGTGACTGTCCCCTCCGGGGTCTCTTTGGTTTTCTGAGGTGAGTTTTTCACATTTTTTAGTTTTTGTTTGCCCTTTTCAGGGTTAAAGGTTCCTCTGCTGATGAACTGAGGCCTGTCTTCCAGGGATTTGGTCTGGCCTAGTGGTCCTTCCATTGCCAGGGTCTCACCAGCTGAGGCAGCTCGGTAGAATGGAGACTTGGAATAAATCTGAAATCGCCTTCTGGTGCCATGAGATGATGCAGTGTTAGATAAACATGAAGAGACAGAGGAGTTAACTGAGTCCAAAGAGTCTGGCTGCTTTCTTAGCTGCTTTCGCAACTTGCTTGAAGGTTCAAACTTGCCAGTTGTCTTCAGGGAGCTGAGAGCTAAGCTTCTCTCTAATGTAAAAACAGAAAACAAAGTTGGAGACTATGTTTCCTTTGAATTAATACCATGTAATGGACAGCTGTCATTGTTCACACATGAAAGTGAGTGGGTTAAAATTTTGAGAGTTTGGAGCTGGGCATGGTGGCACATGCCTTTGATCCCAGCACTCAGGCGGCAGAGGCTGGCGGACCTCTGTTGAGTTCGAGGCCAGCCTGGTCTACATAGTGAGTTCCAGGCCAGCTGGGGCTACTGGGAGACCCTATCTCAAAAAGACCAAAAAAAATTTTTTTCTTTGAGAGTTTGGTTGATCTATTTATTCTGTGCAGAATCATTACTTAAAAAGAGCTTTTCTACATGCAGGCAATACATGCATACACATAAAATAAAAACAATAAACAAAATTAAAAAAAGCTTTACACCTAATTCTACAGCTATTTCATAATATACCACAATTCATGTGGTATATTCCAGCAGTCGTAGTATGTTCTTCTGTTCCTGAGACACACCTAATAGTTAAACACCTCCTTTGGTGTAACAGTCCTGCCTCATAGCAGGGCACAATTTTTGCCATGAACTCTTAGAAAAATGGCCATGAAACAGACTACAGATACTGTGATTATTGGCTTTTACTGTGGTAAGATAGAAAAATGTTAAATTACCAAAACACTGAACTACACTGACTGAATTACCAAACACTGAACGAGCAATTTATATGGAAGCTTCATGAAGACATGATTCCTTAGGAGTTTATCATCTTTTCTTGTAAGGTCAGTACACTTTTTTTTTTTTTTAATTTACTATTTTTATTTTATGTGTATGCATGTATTGCCTGCATGAAGGTAAGTGCAGTTGTGTTGTGCAATGCCCGCGGAGGTCAGAGAGGTTGGATCCCCTGGGACTAGAGTTATGGACAGCTGTTAGCTGCCATGTGGGTGCTGGGATTCGAACCCGGGTCCTCTGCAAGAACAATCAGTGTTCTTAACTGCTAAGCCATCTCTCCAGCCCCCAGTGCACTTTTGAAAGAGACTACTTAGCTTGAGAATTTCTATTCCTTCTTTCCAAAACTAATTTAGAACAACATGACCATTTACCTGATCTCTCAGAGTTAGTACCTTCAGAATCCATATTCAAATTTTCTGAGCTATCGGCAGTCCCAATGGAGGCCTCAGACTCAAGGGTTTCATCATCAGAGGCACGAGGTTCCAATACAAGCATCTCAAATGTTAGCTCTTCCCTGCAAGATACAATCAACAAATCCATTAGCATGATAGGAAGTGAAAGAAAGATGACAGGAAGACAGTCTATGAAAGTAAAGAACCTAAACAGCAAAGACAATCACATTTCTTACTGTCCCCACCACAGTGATGAGGACATATATTCAGACCAATGAATACTAAACCCATATGGACAAAAGGACAAGATGACAGTAAACCTACGAGCAATAACAGGGCTAAGGGGTAGGCTAAGGCAGGAAGCTGCAGCTGTGAGATATTCTGAGAAGATGAACTCTGGATTGAAGAGCAGGAGTTCAAGGTTCTAAACTCATTCTTGATACACCAGCAAGTACTTTTCTCTTTCTGGATCTCAGCTTCCTCATCTAGAGAACAAATTAAATAGATCATCTCCAAAATTCTTTCTAGCTCCTACACTATTTTCCACGCAGCTTTACTAGAAGTCTCTGGATAAGCAAAACACTGATCTTTTCTGGTGTGTGTGGAATTACATCATCTCCAATTACAATATTATCTAATTTATCATGATCATTCACCTACCTCTCAGTCATGTCTCTCCTTTTCTGCAGTCATTAAGATTTGGCTTCTAATCTTGTTTTTTATTTGGGCCCTAGTAATACCTTGACCTATTTCTACAAGTATCTTTACAAAGACTCACTTCAAAACCCTAATACCAAAATATCTTTGTGTTTCCAACTGATTTTCTCTATATAAGCAACTTTCTCTGATGAATATCTATTGCAGCTTGTCAATTCCTGAAAATACACTAGGTCTGAGTTCAATTCTTAATCTTTAAATCAAGTCTCCTCCCGTCAGACCCTTCCTTAGCCTCACTTCTACTTTACTTGAGAGCCTTAGACCATCCATAGCTCACTACTTCCATGTGCATTCTCATCTCTGCGACTAGTTCACATTTCCTTTTTCTGTACCTTCCTTTTCCTAACATATATTTTTAAAATATTTTTATGTGTATGAGTGTTTTGCCTGCATGCATGTAAGTGCTCCCGTGTCATGCATTGCCCAGGGGAGTCAGAAGAGGGTGTCAGATTCCCTGGAACAGGAGTTACAGATGGTTGTTAGCCACCATGTGGTATGGGAAACAAACCCTGGTCCTCTGTAAGAGCAGTCAGTGATCTTAACCACTGAGCTACCTCTCCAGCCCCCCTAACACATTCTTAAATATCCCCTCCATACATCAAATACCATGTTCCCCAGATCTGGGGCAGGTAATCTTTCCAGATCACTTTATAACAGTCAGCCTGGGGTTAGTATATACTACCTCACTTTTATCCACAGCTGAGCTCTAGCTGCTTTTTTGCCCTAAATTCCAGAATTTATCTGTGACAGATAAAATGTATTTTCAGGACTGGAGAGATGGCTCAGCAGTTAAGAGTACTGACTGCTCTTGCAGAGGACCCAGGTTCGATTCCCAGCACCCACATGGTGGCTACAAACCACCCTTAACTCCAGTTCCAGGGAAATCCGAAATCCTCTTCTGACCTCCGCGGCACTGCACAACACGAGTGCACTTACTTACATGCAGGCAATATACTCATACACATAAAAATAATACATATTTTTAAAAATGTATTTTCAGTTTCATATCTCCCCATGAATCAAACTCTCAGAACTAAGAGGTGAACTTCAGAGACTCAAGGATTCCTTTAGGATTTTTTAAGAGTCATCAATGCCCATCAGAATTAGTATACCATACCTACACGAGAACCATGGGCTATTCCTATTATCCCTAAAGGTTAGTGTTACCCCACCTCTGCCAAAGCGATTATGGGAGTAACATGTTTCTCTACCTGTTATCCCATATTCCAATATAACTCCTTCCTTTTTCTATCTAGTTGTTGGGTCCATGGCCATATTGATTTTAAATAATAATACTCCTTCATGGAACTGTGACTAATGCCCATTCTTTTTTTTTCTTTTCTAATAATTTTTAAAATTTTTATTTATTTTTTGGTCTTTTTGAGACAGGGTCTCCCTGTAGCCCCAGCTATTCTGGAATTCACTATGTAGACCAGGCTGGCCTTGAACTAACAGAGATCCGCCTGCCTCTGCCTCCCAAGCGCGCCACCATGCCCGGCCTATTTATTTATTTTAGCAGAGCACAGGGTAGTGGTTTATTTACAGAAGAGTGGGTGCCCCACATTTATGGCTGTGCGGTAAAGTTCACATTCAAATACAGATCCTGTGACCTCCCAACAGCCACACAAAATTGTGGGAGAGGTGCCTCTTGGTGTTCTCGACTTATATATCCTTTGTCCTTCCCTGCAGCTAAGGTCAATTGATTGGGTGCGAGGAGTAAATGACTCTTCCCCCCACCCCCATACTCCTTGATGAGAATGGGAAGGAGGTATGAGTATAGCTTGCCAGCATAGTGGTTGGAGGACATTTCCAGTTAACACTCCATCCCTTCCTCCAGCTCTTACATTCTTTCCGCCAACCTATTCTGCAAAAGTATCTGAGCCTTTGAGGGCGTGACAGGTGTGGGATGATCTTCCTCCCATTGTATGCCCATTCTTTATGTATCAGTGTTTTGTCTTCAGGTATGTAAGTGCACCAAGTATGTTCTTGGAGCCCATAAAGGCTGGAAGAGGGTGTTGGATCCCCTAGAACTGGAGTTATTGATGGTTGTTAGCCCCAATGTGAGTGCTAGGAACTGAACCCGGGACTCTGGAAGAGCAGTAACTGCTCTTAACCACTGAGTCATCTCTCCAGTATCACTAAAGTCCATTCTTGAACAGGATTTTGTCTTTGCCAAGATACTCCAATACCTCATCTTGGCTCTCCACCGTTCATGCGTTATGAATCTGGACTAAGACTGATATACCCTATGGATCGTCATCCTCCTCCTCCTCCTCCTCCCTCCCTCTTCATTCTCTTCCTTAATATCAAGATTCCCCTGAGGTGAGAACTTTCACACTTATCTTGAATATAGCTAGGCAATGCGTTTCTGACATCCCTACATCCCCTGGGCCAATATTGTGGTTGACACAGCAGATATTTAATGAATAAGAGAATCAAAGAAAGTGCAGAAGGAAGAAATGACAAGGACAACAATTGTCCTCTCCTCCCTGGACACTCACTTCTCTTTCTGTAGGTTTTCAATCTGCTCAGTCAGAACTTTTTCCTCTTGCTGCATTGCTGCTTGCTGCTGTTCTGTGAAATCAGTCTCCATAACTGTCTCATTAGACAAGGTCTCTTCTGGGACATCAGACACGGAAGGCAGTCGAACTATAACAGGAGAAGACGGACTTGGATAGTTTCCTCGACGTATATGCCCTTTTCCCTGAAGAGAAAAATTTACGTTAAAATAATAAACTATCAGTTTTATAAAAGTAAACTGATGGTATCAGTTTTATGCTATCTTCTTCAGATCAAAAATTTCCTTCATCACATCATGGGAAATGATGGGATTAAATGAGGCATAGGATATTTAGCCAGATACAAATCCAGCACATTTAGATTAAAAGAATTCCTTCAAGAACACTGAAAAATGGACACACATTTCAGTTGGAGGGAATTAAGTCCCCATGTGCTGAGATGAAGAGTCTTCTTTTAATCTAACCTGCTTCTAATCCAAACTAAATAGCTAAACATGGCTCCTTAACATCAAGTCAATTAACATTTAAAACTTAGTTCTGCAGTCACTGTAGCCATAATTCAAATGCTCAAGGGCTGGAGGCAGATCATCGTTACCACAGTAACAGTGCAAATGCATATCATTTTCAACATTACAAGAAGTTTTAGCAGCTTTAACCCTAGAACGCACAATCTCTCTGGGAAGATTTTAGAAGCATGTTTTGTTTTGGAGGGAAAAAGTCATAACAAAGTGTTAGTATATTTTCCTCAAAAAATTTGTTTTTTGAGATTAGGGAGGAGGAAATATCATTGTTTTAAATTGGTTACCCTACTTACAATTTTAGTTTCTGTCTACAGCAGACCAGGCTTATAAGATTAAATCTCCTACTAAGAACAACTAGATCAACCATAAAAATCAATACACATTTGAAGACACTGGAAAGCTAGGAGGCAGAAGAGGTTAACCCAGCACCTAGTGGTGATTTTCCAATTTCAGAAGAGGTGGCAGAGTCTGAGTAGAACTTTTTACACACTGGAGCTGGGGTTGACAAGCTTCAACCTATGAGCTACTTCTAGCCTGTGTGCACTTTTATATTTACACATCATTACTAATTATTTTTTGGTTTTGTACAATGACAGAGGTGACTATAATAGAGATTGTATGGCCCACAAAATCCAAAGTATATACTTTCTAGTCTTTCACAGAAAAAGCCTGCAACCCCTGAGATAGAGAATAAAAGGATGTAAGTTGTTGACTGGTAAAACCTTTATGCCTATCACTGTATCCCCAAGGTTTCCATCCTGAACAAAAATGTAAAGTGAAACGACAATGGTTCTTACAGATCCTGTTGCCTAGTTTCAAGTCATCTGAATGGTCAAAAAAAAAAAATTTCTAAGACTAGATGAAAATGATCTGACTGCCAGCCCCTAAAGGATCCAGCAGAAAAACAACTCTTTAGAGATAGGTAATATCATCTCAGACCTCAAAATACTTTTTACAAATAATTTTCCAAATCAAAAGTAACTGGGATTCAAAGGAGACAAGACAATGCAAAAGAAAACTAGTAAAGAACAACAGAAAATAAAGGGCCCCAATGACTACAGATTGTGGTTATGAGACAGACATAAAAGGAGATGAGAAAACAGAATTAAATTAGTAGATTAGAAGATACATCAGAAGAAAAAAATCCAGAATCAAACAGTGAGCACAAAAAACAAACAAATGATAGTAAAAGAGAAGATATAGTAAAGAAGCCTACCCTATACTTAAGCAGAATACTAGGTGAGGAGACAGTGAGGAGACATTGGGGAACCAAGGAGCGGAGTACTTCAAACTCAGATTTTCACCAATTGAAGTATATACGCAACTACAAAGGAAGATAAAAATGTAAAGGTCTATATTTACATACATAACTGATAAAATCCCAAGACAAGAGAAAATCTTAAAAGCAGTCAGAAAAAATACATTACTGAAAACAAATAGCAACTATTAGATTTTAAGCTCCATAGGAATAATGGAAGATAAACAAAATAAAACAAAAAAACACAATGGAGTGATATTTAGGAAGTTATAAAGGGAAAAATCTCAAATTCATAGCAGAAATTTTCAGGAATAAAGTGAAGACATACTAGACAATAGAGAATTTGACAGAGGCACACCTATACTACAATAAGTATTAAATGGCAGGGAGAAAATGAACCAAGAAGAAAAGTTAGAGATGGAGGGATAAAGGCAAGACAATGACAACAGTAAAGATCTATAAGTAGGAACAGAGAACAAGGAGAGGAGAGAAGGAAGAGGGGAGGGGAGACTCTAATCATAAGGAAGTTGTAGATATTCTTTAAGGTAATAAGTGTCATAATAAAAGGATATTTCAGAATTTCAAAAACTCAAATTATGAAGGTACAGTATTTCCAAATGAGAGAGATCATTTCTTAATGGCTTCAAAAGATTTCAAGTGGCTTCAAAAGATTTCAAGTAAAATATTGATAGAAATAAAGACACAGACAAACCTATAGTCAGCACCAAGAGATTAAGTAAGTATACATAGTAGATTTTAAGTTTCTAACAGCTATCTGATAACAAGAGCATTTTCATTAAAGTATATATAGCAATATAGCAAACTTCTAAGAGGTGAAATAATTAATCTGATAGAATATTTAAATAAACTTTCTGATAGTCTAATTGTAAGTAGAAAATTAAAACCTCTAGGCCTTGATATGGCTAAGTGGCTACATGCATTTGAAGAAGAGAGGTTAAATATTAAGAGGTAATGGGGATGGAGAGATGGCTCAGCAGTTAAGAGCACTGACTGCTCTTGCAGAGGACCGGGGTTCGATTCCCAGCACCCACATGGTGGCTACGAACTGTCCTTAACTCCAGTTCCAGGGGAATCTGAGTCTGCACTCCCTCTTAAATTAACGATACTTTTCTTTAATTATTGCTTTTACACATATTTATATACATATATATGTATACATATATACATATATATAGAGAGAGGTTAGTATCCACTTCAGGAAACTAGACGTGGAACAACAAAATATAACCCCCCAAGTAAATATAAATAGAAGATTAAATAAATATTAGAGAAAGGATCAAAGCTTAAATGGCTTTTTGAAAGGACTAACACAAAGCGTAAAACCCCTAGCAGGTTGGAGGGGGATCCTAAATAAACAAAGAAGGGAATAAAAAGATGAGCATCACTCTAATTGCTCAGACATGAGAAGGATAAGAGGTTGCTGTGGGCAACTTCATGCCAACAAATCTGAATGTTCGACAAAATGGAGACATTTCTATAAAAATCCAATGAGCTGCAAAGAAAGAAATGAAAAATGCAAAGAAAGAAACTGGATCTATAATCAAAACCTTTCCAGAAAGAAAACTTCAGGCCTAGATTTCATTGGCAAACCAGAAATGATATGCAAATTCTTCCAAAGAATTGAAAAGGACTATTTCCCAATTTAAACAAATTACAAAAACATAACAAGTACATTTAAGGGAGGGACATGGTGGGCAATTTTACTCATAAATACAGGAGCAAAGCCGGGTGTGGTGGCACATGCCTTTAATCCCAGCACTTGGGAGGTAAAGGCAGGTGGATCTCTCTGTGTTTGAGGCCAGTCTGGTTTACATAGAGAGTTCCAGGTCAGCTGGGGCTGCAGAGACCCTGTCTCAAAAAGACCAAAAACAAAAATAAACAACAACAAAAAAACCCCAACAAAACAACAGGAGAAGCAGGCACAAGAGCACCATCTGCAAGGTAGGCCAGAGACTGCAGCACGGCAGAACAATGCAAGACCCTGCCTCAAAACAAGGTAGAATCAGTGATGTTGGCACCCCCAGCTGTTCCCCACTACTTGTCCATCTGGTGAATCTAGTCAGCCTATCTAGAGGTCTTCGTTTTAGGAGGGTCAGCTGTTCCTCATCTAGCAGCAATTGGTTGTTAATATTCCTTTAGATAAGATTGGGGTCTGCTGTTCATTTTCCCAGTTCTATGCTGGGAAAAAATAGACTCCCAAAAGGTTTCCTGGGACTTACACACATACCCCATAGCACACACATGACTGCACTCACACATACCACACATACGATATCAAATTTCTTTTAATTTAAAAAGCTGGAACAAGGAAAGTAGTGGAACTGTCAATGTAAAGATTAAAACAGATCAGACATAAAAACTCCTGACTTATGGCAAAAAAAGACCTGCAGAGCATCATGGAAAGGATGATTTAAATGAGAGGAGATGAAAAAGCTTATCCAAATAAAAATCTAAAAACTTGTTGGGTGTGGTGGCACACTCCTTTAGTCTTTAATCCCAGTACTCAGGAGGCAGAGTCAGGCAGATGGATCTCTATGAGATCAAGGCCAGGTTGGAGCCTGGTCAAGTTCCAGGCCAGCTGAGGCTACAGGAAGACCCTGTCTCAAAAAAATAACTTCGATATATATAATATAATATATATATAGACTTGTCTCCTCTATTACACCATATACAGATATCTTGAGTTGGACTATACATATAAATATGAAAGACAAAATAATAAAGACAGTTGTTAGCTGCCATGTGGGTGCTGGGATTCGAACCTGGGTCTTCAAGAACAACCAGTGTTCTTAACCGCTGAGCCATCCTCCAGCCCTATTTTGGTCTTTCTAAGACAGGGTCTCCCTGTAATCCCAGCTGGCCTGAACTCGCTATGTAGACCAGGCTGGCCTCGAACTCAGAGTGATCCCCCTACCTCTGCCTCCCAAGTGCTGGACCTAAAGGTGTGCGCCACCACGCCCAGCTTATTTTCACTTTATTTGTAAGACTGTTTTGCCTACATGTATATATGTGCACAAGGTGCATGAAGTGCCCATGGAGGCCAGAAGAGGGCGTCAGATCCCTTGGAATTAGAATTAAAGATGGTTAACTGTTGTGTGGGTGCTGGGAACTGAAGCCAGGTACTCTGAAAGAGCAGTCAGTACTCTGAACCACTAAGTCATCTTTCTTGGCCCTAGTTTTTAATTTTTTGAGATAGAGGCTTGCTCAGGCTGGCCTGAAACTGGTAATCATCCTGCCTCGACCTCCTGAGTCCTGCAATTACTTGCATGTGCCACCATGCACTTTTAAAGAGAGTAAAAATCAAGCTACAGAATGGACAATACCTGCAACAGAAGTAACCAATAAAGGGTTTATATGCACAATCCATAAAGAATTACAGAAAGAC